TCTCTCATCTGCTCCCCCCTCCTCCCAGGGTTACCACCTCCGGGCAGTCCCTGGAGCTGGAGCCTGGGGCTCCCCTCACCACAGCCCCTTAAATGGCCTTTCTGTTTCTGGTCTCTCCAGCCCACTTCATCCCTCACTCTAATTTCCAAAGCCCCCAAAAGCCCCGGTCGCAGTGGGTCCCTCCCATAGTATAAAAACCTTCAGAGGCTTGCCACGGCCCACACCCTAAAATCCACATGCATAATTCTGTATAATGCCGAAGTTGGTAAACTTTTTCTGTAAAGACGCAGCTAGTGAAGGTTTGAGTCTTTGTGAGCTGCATCTACTCCGCACGGTGCCGGATGACTGGTGCATGGACGAGCACACCCAAGATGGAAGCTTTTTTATGGACACCAAAATTTGGATCTCATTTCATTTTCACATGTCCTCAAAGAATCAAAAACACTTTTAAATTTCCAACCATCTAGAAATGTAAAAACCTTTCTTTGTTCATGAGATATTAAAAACAGACTTGGCCCACAGACTCTAGTGTGCCCCTCCTGCCCTAAGCCCGCTAGATGATCCCCAGCACAGCCTACAGAGAGCGAGCTGACAGAGAAGAGTGAGAACACTATGAAGTCACTTCTCTTCAGACCTCTGGTGGGTAACCCAGTCCTTGGCCCGCGGTGGCTGCTCTCTGCCCTGTGACTTCCAGCCCCTGAACTTTGCCTCCTGAGTTGAAACCTGGCAATCTCTTTGGGCCAAACCTGTTACCCAATAATCCATGCATGACTTTAGGGTGAAGCTGAGGATGGGGGGAACCCTGACTCTTCAGGACAAGAAAACAGGCAGCTCTGTTCTCCCCGCCCCTCCCTCCCAGGATGGCTGAGCAGTCTGTCCTGTGGGATATCAAAGAATTGAGAGCAGGTGGGTCGACAGGAGAAGGGCGGGTGTGGAGTGGAAGAGAGGGTCCCCGGCTGGCAGACCATGAGCTCTTCAAAGCAGGAATTATGCCCGACTGTTTCTCTCTACATCCCTAGAGCCTAGAATTCAGTAGGCTCCTAGTGAACGAATGTTTATCAGACTCACCTGTTACAAGGGTTGGAAGCATTGAACCCGGCTTCCCTGTGGTTGTGAGTTAGGAAGGACAGGGAGAATGAAGGAGGCAGGTGTTAATGGATCCCAGCTGCTGAGGATCTTGGACAGAGGGTCAAAAACAGACCCCTTAGACTTGGGCCCCACCCAGGCTGGCCCTAGGACCAGCTAAAATGTAATGGTGCCAGGAGCTAAATGTGCAAACATGCACGACCAACGTGCCAGTCATAATGAAGCCCCACTCCGGGGAGCTGAGTCCTCACTGCCTGCAGACCCCAGAATCCATGTCGGCCGAATCCTGACGGCTCAAGACATACTTTGCATTCCCACCATCTTCTATGCCCTGGCAATCCTGGATTCTGCTTCTGATTCCTCCACCGAGGTCTGAAAAGCGCTGGGAAGCCTACCTTCCTGTAGCCTTCCATCGGCGGCGGCTGCTCCCCCTGCAAAAATGGTTTTGACGTAAATCCCAATGGGGCCATAAATGCTGTCTTTTCCTCCAACGATACTGAAGCCCAGGCCCTGGGGAAAGAAGAGAAGGTCTGATTTAGGAGTAGTATTCCACGCTTCCCATTGGGCCGATGCCTTCCAAGGACCTGCCTCAGCCCTGAACAAAGGGACTGGGAAGGAGAGAAGGTGCCTTTGGTCTCAGAGGTGTCATGGCTCAACAACAACAAAAATAGCAATACCAATGGCAGTGGTGTGGAGGCAGCCCGGGCCGGGTAGTGTCTGGAGCTTTCGCGGGAGGCTGGATGGAGACCAGCACCCTGGCTCTGTCTCTCCAGTTGGCAATCCTGGGCCAATCACCTTCTGCTTTCGTGCCTCAGTTTCCCTCCTTGTAAAATAATGATGTTACGACCTAACTCCCAGGGTTGTGTTTGACAATAAAATAACTAGCAGCAATCATAAAAACATCAACAGCAGTAATAACAGCAGTAGCTTCAGTGCCATCGCCTCTCCCACCAAAGGCCCCCCACTCCCCTTCCCAAGGACGATCCCGCCTCCAATCACGTGCTCTCCCTCCTGCACCTGCTCCATCTGCCCTCGCCCCAGGTGATTCCCAGGAGCCAATAAACATATCCCGGAATTGCGCAGGTGGCTCTGGGAGGAGAAACTCATTAGCTCAGGTAGTCTCCGCTGGGGAGCAGCCAGGAGGCAGCAGAGTGATGGCGGGCAGGAAGTCCAGGGAAAGGCTGAGTGAGGTCTAGGCAGGAAGAAGGGAGGGTGGGCACAGCGCCGCCTGCAGACCTGCCAGTGAGTTAGTGGAACGGCCTGGCAGATGGCAGCATCACTCGGTGCCACAGGGACCGCAGGCTGTCTGCGTCTTCTTGGCGCTGTGGGGAGCCAGTGGGAGAGCCGTGGGGATGGGCAGCTGTTCTAAGCCTCTGGTGAAGGTGGCATGTGTTCCAGGATGGGCAGGACGAATGGCGCCCGGGAGTAGCACAGGCTTAAGAAAAGGTGAGGTAGGAGACCCTCCAGGGCTCCTCCGTGGACCCCAGCCTCGTCCTGGCTGAGACAGCTGCTCTAGACTCAAAGTCTCACCCACGCTGGGGATGCAGGATGGCATCGTGGTTAAGAACACGGCCCAGGGGTCAGGCCACCTCGGGTCATTGCCTTGGTTCAGCTGCTCACTAACCCAGTGAGCTTGGACAAGTCCTGCAATCCCCCCGGTCCCCCGTCCGTCTTCCTATCTATACACCCACATACACACATAGATATTTATTAGAAATAGCATCTCCCTCTGCTGCCCAGGCTGGAGTGCAGTGGCTCTACCACAGTTCACTGTGGCCTCGAGTTCCTGGGCTCAAGCAAACTTCCCGCCTCAGCCTCCTGGGCAGCTGGGACTACAGGCATGTGCCACCACACCAGGTTAATTTTTCTTTTCTTTTCTTTTGGTAGAGGCAGGGTCTTACTAAGTTGCCCAGACTGGTCTCCGACTCCAGGACTCAAACGGGAGGCCTCCCAAAGTGCTGGGATTGCAGGCGTGAGCCAGTGTGCCTGGCTCCACACCGATAAAACGGAGATAGTAAGAGGATTGTTTTGGGGATCACAGGCGTTACCCTTGCAAAGCCCATAGCACAAGGCCCAGTGTTGGCCGCTGGTTTTACCACGATTTGCTTTTGACTCTGCCTCCAGCACCTGCTGACCCTTCCGGCTCCAACTCCTCCCCCGGCTTCACTGTTACTTGTCATCCTGTTAGTGACGAGATCTTGGGGTGTAGGTTGTATTGCCAGAGAGTGGGAAGCCTGCTTTATTTCTGAACTCATCATCCCTGCTCTGCACATGAGGATTTCCGTATCAAATGATTCATTGGCTTCCATCCCCCGGGCTTGTAAAGATTACTCCTCTGAGTAATCTGAATGTTCATTTTGTTCACATCAAGATAACAGAAACCATTTTTGGTCACCTGTGCATGAGTTTTGGTGGCCTTTACCATTTCACCTTCTTTTGAGCACCGCAAACAATTTAAAAGTCAATTTTAAAAAGTGACTCCTCACCTTAGCCTGGCCTTTCATCAGCACGATGTTGGAGATGACAGAAGCCTGGAGGCCCCCGGACGGCTGCACGAGCTGAGCTGTGCTCAGGGACCGTGTCGGCCTTGCAGTGCCCTGCAACAAAGAACCCGAGTGGACAGAAGATGAGCCACACAGGAGCAGCACACGCCTCACCGGGAAGGGGAAAAGCCCAGCCATGGATAGGAACCAAGTCCTCTTTCTCCTAACTGCTCGAAGCATAACGACCAGAATGTGGGTAGTGGGGTGTGGGTCGGATTCTGGTGGGGAGGGACTTCCTTGGTTCTAGGAACCCGATTTGCTGAGCCCAGTCTCCCTGCAGATGAGCAGCCAAAGGGCTCACTAAGGTTTGTCAAGGAAGTAGGTCGAGGTTAACATCACAGACTCCACTGCCTCCGGGACAGGGCCCCATAACTGAGACCTCAGGTAGAAATTGGAAAGCCCACTACCAAGTATGCCTTGAGACTATGTCCATCCAAGACACATTTACTGAGAACTCCCCTTGTGCCAGGCAGGAGGTGGTGGGCAAGGAGGCAGGAGCCCAAAGACTTAAAAACTCAGAATGTGGCCAGGTGTGGTGGTTCACGCCTGCAATCCCACCACTTTGGGATGCTGAGGCAGGCAGATCATGAGGTCAGGAGTTCAAGACCAGCATGGACAACATGGTGAAACCCCATCTCTAATAAAAACACAAAAACTAGCTGGGCGTGGTGGCAGGCATGTAATCGCAGCTACCCGGGAGGTGGAGGCAGGAGAATCACTTGAACCTGGGAGGCAGAGGTTGTGGTAAGCCGAGACTGCACCACTGCACCCCAGCCTGAGTGAAAGAGCAAAACTCTGTCTCAAAAAACAAAAAACTCAGGCTGTAATTTTGGGATAGGCAGACAGGCAATTAACTATTTGTGAATGAGAAGCAGAGTTCATTTGCAAATAGTGAAGCCACTGGAAGCACCCTGCAGAGGGAAAATACAGCTTGGTGGTGAGAGCTCAGACTCAGGAACCCCACTGCTGGGTTCTTCCGGGCTCTGCCCATTATCAGCTGGTGGGTGATCTTGGCTTAATGACTTAGCCGTCTCTGCCTCAGTTTCCTCAGCTGTAAAAGCATGGTCCTAATGGGGCCTATCTAATAGTGCTGCTTTGAAGAATAAATCTATGTGAGTGCTTAGAACACTGCCCGACACATAGGAAATGCCTTAGACATGTTTCTTGGTGTTACCATAAACTCCAAGACTGTTTGCTACTTTCAGCATTTCACAATTTGGAAAGAGTCTGTCTGGGGCTGAAGGCTGCGCTTCCTGATTGCCCATCAAAGCAGACACACGGGCTGTGAGTGTGGAGGCAGCTGCTTGCTCCCTGCTCTCTGATCTCGGAGATGCTGACTCCCAGGCTGATGCTGGCCCCATGACACCTGAGCAGAGGAAGCAGCAAGACCTGGGCTCTGAGCTGCCCGTATCCATATCCATCCTGCTGCTTCTAATTAGAAAACCTTGGGAAGGCCACTTAACGTCTCAGCCTTGGCCTCTGCACCTGTCAAAGGTGGACATTAACACCTCTCTGTTTATGTTGTACCCCTTGGCTGTACAGCTGTTTAGGTAACAAATACATGAAGCCACGTAGAACACACAGCCTCATGTCTGGCAGGCAGCGAACGTGGAATGCATGTTTTCTTTATTACTAGCATTCCCTGGATGCTAACTCCTCTTCTCTGGATTGCCCCCTCTCTTGTTGGCTTGCAACTGCCCACACCTGATGGGCTGCTGTCCCCAAAGTCACCCAGGTCCTGTAGCTCTAAGCCACGCCCTGGCCTTTCCATCCACTGTGGATCTCACCCTCCCTCCTTCTCTTCCAGAAACACCCTTTCTGTGGTAACTCCCTCTCCCCCTCCTTTGGAGGGTTGCTATGTAGTCAACATGACGTCACGCACGGACATCTATGGTGGTTCATTTTCTGTGCCTACTTGACTGGGCCACATGGGTGCCCATATATTTAGTCAACCATTATTCTGTGTGTGTCTATGAGGGTGCTTTTGAATGAGATGAGCATTTAAATCTGTAGCCAAAGCAGATCACCCTCCCTGAGGCAGGTGAGCCTCATCCAATCTGTTGAAGTTGTGAATAGAAAAAGACCGGCCTCCCCTGAGTAAGAAAGCATCCTTCCTGCCTGACTGCCTTTGAACCAGGACATCGGTCTTTTCCCCGTCTTCATACTCCGACTGAAAAATCAGCTCTTCCTGGGCTTGAGCCTGCTGGCCTCTGGGAGGGAGCCACACTGTTGGCTTCCCTGGTTCTCAGGCCTTCAGACTCGGATTATGTCTGAACCATAGGCTGCCCGGGGTCTCCAGCTTGCCAATTCACCGTTCAGATCCTGGAACTTGCCTACCTTCATAATCCCATGAACCAACGAATTCATTATAGTCAATCTCTCTCTGTCTCTCTCTCTCTGTATGTATGTGTCTGTCTGTCTATATACCTCTTATTGGTTCTGTCTCTGACTAATAGCGCGTCTAATTGCCTCCTAAACTTTGAGGAGTTAAGTGAGTAGAGGCAATAGTTGTGTCTCCCACCCCCGTCCCCTAACACTGCTAATCTCCCGAAGCACTCCTTGCTGGTGGAATGTAGCCCCTCCATCCTTTTCAACATAGCCTCCCACGCAGGTACTACTGACTGATCTTCAGCCCATCCTGGCCGGCCAGGTAGGCCTCCTGTTCCCAAGGGCCTGGATCCCAACGCATGAGGCAGCAAAGACAGGAAGCCGCTTCCCCCAGGAAGTACCCACTGGCCCAATCCTCAGGGACCCAGCGCTTGCTGCGGATGACCCCAGATGTGCAGGAAACCAGGAACTGGGAAAGTTCTTGGCTCAGGGAGGCACCAGGGAAGCCATCTTCTTCTAACACTGGGACACCACACTCCCAGTTTGGGAATGAAAAACACGTTTACGCAAGGAAAGGAAGGGAAGAGAGAAATGAAATTCACTGAGCATCTACTATGTACCATGCAGGGAAACGTTGCTTGACCATGGAGCCCCCCTTGGGAGAGTCAGCAGGTGAGATGAAATGCTAACATAAATGACACTCACAAGACAGGCTGGGTGAGCACAGAGAGAGAAGCAGTGTTGCCTCCTGATGGGCATTCGGGAAAATGTGAAGTCCACGCCTTTGGAGGGATCAGGAGCGTTCCCAGGTGAAAGGGAACCTTCGGAAGGTGTTTGAAGGCTGGGGCAGTTTCCTTTGGAGGGCTGAGATGCTACAGACAGAGGGCGCTGTGGGACCAAAAGTGGCAGCGTGCCCCACCGCGTGCAGCGGGGGTGCGGGCATGTGCAGGGTACATTGTGCTCTCCTCTGCTTAGCTCTCTGCCTGCAAGCTGACACGTGCAGTCGGAAGGCCATGGACTGAGGAGCACCCAGGGCAGTTTACGTTCTGGCCCTATAGGTTTTAAGATGTATAAACATATTCCTTTCTAAGCTTGTTTTAGGAATTAGAGGCAATGTTGGTAAAGCAGATCACTGTATTACAGGAGTGAAAAGCCTTTTTGCACAGGCTTCAGAGTCGTCGAGATCGGACTTGAAGTCCCAGCCCTGTTTCTCCTTAACAATGTGAACGTGCATAAATCCTTTAACTTGTCCAGCTGCAGCTCCCTCTTCTACCTTTTAGGAGTATGTGCGGATGAAATAAAGCGATCCACGCAAAGCCACAGCTGAGGCTGTCCCCACGTGGCCGTGTTCTGTACGTGTTAGCTCCTGGCAGCATAGACGTGGCAGCAGTTGCAAGTGCCTGGCACAAGGGGGCGCTCAATGGATGCCCATTTCTAATGCGGTTCTCTGCCCAGGGGTGGCTGTACCTGCTGGTACCTGCTGAGCGAGACCCTTTCCTGTGTAGTTCTGCGGACAAAACACTGGGAAGGTCTCTTCAGACCCTGCTAGTGTTGGGCCCCTCCCTTCTCCCCCTTCTCCGAGTTTCCCTCCCTTCATTCTTACCGCAGCCTTTCCTGCTGAACAGGCCAGCTGTTGAGAGAGAGACTTCCTGTTACTGCAGAGGGAATAAGGCTGCCTGTCTGTGGATGCTGCGGATTTCTTGGTCGTTGGAAAATCACTTTCTCCCGTGCAATAGGGATTAACACCTAAACCGGAAGAGGTAAAACGGCAAGACATCATTTGTGCTCTCAAAATGCAAACTTCAGCTGAGAACTACACCAGCCCCCACCAACTGCCAGCCCCTCATTGGCCAGGGTCCGGGTGACTGTAAACCACTCAGCCCCTGTGCCACGTGGTGGTGGGGAGAGGTCGCCGTGGAAGACATGGGCAGCATTTTCACGACCTCCACGCATGCAATCTGTATCGCAGGGTGCAGGCGGGGCTCTCACTTCCATTTGACTTCCATTCAATTCGGCGAGAATTGACACCAAAGTCTGCATCAGATCCAGTTCCTGTGTTTTCAATCCCAACCAAGGAGAGGAAGGAGGAAAACACAAAGGTTTCCGAGGACAGGCACAAACAGGGGAGACCCCACAAGAACAGGGGTGGGGGAGAGCCTTCTGGCTGCCGCTCACACAGGCACATGCACACATGGAGACAACTCTTGATTCTTTGGGTATCTACAAAAATGCAAAGCGACAGGCTTCCTCTACTTTGTGGAAACCTCAGACTTCCTTTCATCCAACCAGGAACTCTACCCTGCCCCGCTACCACATCCAGCTGGGAAAACCTTCACAGATGACCTGATTGAAGTCATCATTCTCTATAACAGTGCTTCCCAATTGAAATATAATGCCAGCCACCGATGCCATTTAAAATTTTCTAGCCGCCACTTTTAAAAAGTGAAAAGAGGCCGGGTTCATGCCTGTAATCCCAGCACCTTGGGAGACCGAGGCGGGCGGATCACAAGATTAGGAGTTAAAGACCAACCTGGCCAACACGGTGAAACTTTGTCTCTACTAAAAATACAAAACTTAGCTGGGCGTGGTGGCGCCTGTCTGTAATCCCAGCTATTCGGGAGGCTGGGGCAAAAGAATTGCTCGAACTGGGACCCGGGAGGAGGAGGTTGCAGTGAGCTGAGATTGCACCATTGCATTCCAGCCTGGGCTACAGAGCAAGACTCCATCTCAAAAAAAAAAAAAAAAAAAAAAAAAAAAAAAAAAA